TCGTTACTCTTCACAATTTAAGTCTGCTTGTGTTCTCAACAGAAGCCACCGACCCTGTGTATTGTTCTCTGAATTGTTATAGCCTTAATTATGAATGTTTGTCTTTTTCCTTCTGTCAGGGTTCATGTGGTTCATGCTGGGCCTTTAGTGCTGCTGGTGCCCTGGAAGGTCAGCTGAAGAAGACCACAGGACAGCTGCTTTCTCTCAGTCCCCAGAACCTGGTGGACTGCTCTACTAAGTATGGAAACAAGGGTTGCAATGGAGGCTTTATGTCTCAAGCCTTTCAGTATGTCATAGATAACGGCGGTATAGATTCTGAAGAGTACTACCCTTACACTGGAATGGTGAGTTAAGTGGCACTGCATCTCTGTAAACTCCGTTTTAGTTTTTTAAACTTTATCTGCCGCACGCTTCACTCAAATACTCAAGCCTAACATTTATGCTGTTCATCAGTTGTTATTTCTGCGTCGTATTGTCTTTGTATATTCCAGGATGGCCAGTGCCGGTATGACCCATCACATCGCGCTGCCAACTGCAGCCATTACTATTTTGTTCCTCAGAGGGATGAGGAAGCTCTGAAGCAAGCTGTGGCCACCATCGGACCTGTCTCTGTGGCTATTGATGCTACACGTCCACAGTTTATAATGTACCGCAGTGGTAAGCCCCGTTGCTCTAGATTTCCTGGCATTTTAATATGCATAATCTTACAGCCTCTCTGTTTGCTTTGTGTTTGATTTTGAAAATTTGTAATTGAACATTGTCTGCCATAGGTGTGTACAATGACCCAAGTTGCACCCAAAAAGTAAACCATGGAGTACTGGTTGTTGGATATGGCACGCTAAATGGGCAGGACTACTGGCTAGTGAAAAACAGGTATGGGCCTCAGTGCCTGTTTTTAGGTTTAAATGACACGGACTGGGCTCTTCATAAAATCCAAATGATGGTCATCAAATTAGGCTTAGTTGACTGGGTGATATCTCTATACCATAGACTGAAAGCACTTTTTAGTGGTTTGCTGACAGTCAGCCTTCTTTTTGGAGATAAATGTATGTCTGAATTGTATATGGAACAAAACATGCTGTGATATGTCTCAGAAGTGGTGAACATGCTGTTCCTGAACTAATTTCAACTGTATAACTAATTAATTTTTATTTATTTTTATTTTTTGAAACTCTTGACAGCTGGGGTACTAGCTTTGGAGATGGAGGCTACATCCGCATGGCTCGCAATAAAGGCAACATGTGTGGCATTGCCAGTTATGCTTGCTACCCTATCATGTGACCAGTGAAGACAAGAGCAAACTTTTAATTGTTTATTTCCTCTTATTGCCTCTATTTTTATCTAATTTGTTTTTAATGGTGTCATTTTTACTAAATAAATAATACATTTTAAATGTTTGTTCTCAAGTTGTGTCTGTGTATTACTGCATGTCTACAGAAATTACAGAAAATGGAAACTGTGCCCTGAAAACATTCACACACATTTACAAGACTTTTTTTTATTATTATTATTATTATTCAGTGCAACATCACAACAAACAATTTCACATGAGGTATCAAAGGATTTTCAAAATTGGTACACAACATCCAGTTATGATTGACATGTAGACTGTCATGATTTAAAGCCTTTGGTTGGTTAGCCACATTCATAGGTTAACATGAGGAGAGAATGGCACAATGACTGACAGACTGATGTGCTAACATAAGACACAAACAGGATGAACGGCAATGGTTTTAAAGCTTTCTGCTACCTGTGACTTATGCGATTTAGGGTTCACAATACTAAACACCTTTTTACCAGGTAAATCATAGGCTGAAATGTCTTCATGTCTGTGACTTTTTTTTTTCTTTTCTTTTTTTTGTCCTACTGGGTAAAAGATCAGTTGTTCATAAGTTACAGATTATGTCAATGTAACTTTTAAATTTTCCTTCTAAAATTATTCTATCAAGACAAATTACAATGAAATCAAGTGGATGTAATTGTATGTTGAACACTGAAGATGCATTTTACAGTATTTTGGCTAAAGAACTGATTTTTATTTCAATACCAATTCCTGCTTGTTTTTTTTATTTATTTTAATTGGTTACACTTGTTGGGAGGGAGGAAAAAGCAATCATAAGCACAGTAAGACCAGCCTCTCTTGCTTCGATTGTCCCATTTGGTCTCTGCACTTGTGTTTATTTCCCTGTTCACACACAAACATTATCTAATGCTTTCACTTGTAGGTAAGCTGTCTCTGTCTGTAGGTAAAAAGTGTGACTTAGTGGTTACAGATTGATTCCAGCACATTTGGTTAGAAAAGATGAGACACAAACTCTCCCTGAATGCATGGGATCTTTGGTACAGTTACATCTCAGCTACACCACACACAATTGAGGTAGATGAACTCTTCATAAGTAGGGAAAAGGATAGACTTGTTGCTTCAGTGGAGAGAATGGAGACTTTTTTTCTGCAGTCCTCAGTAATTTACACATGTACAGCAGTAGTCAGAACATAAGTGGGGGAAAATCACTGTTCCAGCATCCATCCATACAGTTGTGTTCACGAATGTGTAAAGACAGAAAGTTAAGTGACATTAACGATAGGTGAATGTATACAGCACATACATGCCAAAGCTCAGAACATCCCTCACACGGTCCTGTCCAGCTTCACAAGCTCAGCCTGGTCCATCATCTTAGACATGTCCTTCTACAGAATAAGCAGAACCTTCAACCACTAGGGGGTCCCAGAGACTACACTACTGTTAAAGCATCCTTCCAGCTCCAAGGTAGTGTTGGCTCAGAGATGCCAAATGTAAACTTTATCTACCACTTTATCTAGAGTAAGAACTACACTGTGGCTAAAGCACTCAAACCCTTAATCAAACACCAGTAACCAGGAGGAGCTGCACCAAGTGTTAACACATGCGCTGCAGCAGACACCCTTTGCTCTGCTCACAGCACGCTTACAATTGTTACTCATTAAAGTTTAATTCCCACTCTCCAGCACTCCCTCCCAACTCACCTCCCCTTGGTTTGGTAATGCAGTCCTTCTCTGATCTGCCCTCCCCTTTGAATGCCCTAAACCCATGGGTCTGGCTGAGTGAGCGGCGAGCTCCGGCCCCAGCCTCCAACAGGACATAGATAAAAAGGGCCTCTTTCATGTCAGCAAAAGTCGATGGCCTCTTTCATGGTCCCTCTTTCAAGTGCGTGCTGTGAAGGGGCCTCACTTCACGCCCTGCGAAGGTTAAAGACGGTGTGACACACGCGAGTGCGGCCAAAACGGCCCTGCCATGCTCTCACCCCTGAACCCTTGGCTCCGCATAGCACCGCTCAGCACATCAACCAAAGACACAGGCCTCTTGTGTACGCGTGTCTAACACAGTGAATCTGGACTGAACACGAGGGATCACATCATATATTCAGCACTGACTAAATTCAGTCCATGGGAAAATGGGGTAAGCATTAAAATTTGTGCAGGGCTTCAGGACGGGATTTGGACACCACTGACATAGACAAAGAACCTCCACAGTCAGACTGAAACTGAGTGTGGTTCCTACTTTAGTTTAGGAGCTCTGGCTTTAGACATGCACCGCATGTGAATCTTTCCAAGTGGATGGCTGGAACACTAGCCCGGTTACAGAGACAAATGACATCGGAGCCTACATTCAGGGAGGACAAACCTTCATCTTTGGTATCGTGATGGGACTCCCATCAGAGACAAGTTCATAGGACAAACAACACATAATGAAATAAATACTTACAATACTTAGCAAATAAATAACCAGAAGTGAGGAAATAAATACATAAATAATTATAAAAACATAAATAGCGAATTTAAGAGTTCATGTCAGATTTAAGCTCAAGTCACAAACAAGATTTTTTGTTGTCGTTGTTGTTTCTTTGGGGATTGATAGACATCCAGTTTTTGAGGTTGAACAACCAACAACCTGTGATCCACCGGGGCTTGTGTGCTTGAAATTTGTACAAAACCAAGACCTAGGGACAAATTTCTCTGCCGTCCAATGTGAGCACCAAGAAACATCTTGCAATTGAACTACAGGAGTTTTCTCTACAGGTCATTTTCAAATCACAAATACAGAAAACCGGCGCTCACTGTACATCTGCAGAGGACTCAGAATTCCTCTTTGTACTTTGCCTGTATTTCTCTGCAGCAACTCCCGCGAGGTTCACCAATCAATCGATCAGTCCTTTTGAGGGTTCTCTTAAAAAACACATCCACTGCCCCTCCTCCTCCCTCCTCCAGATCTGTTTTCGTCCCCGTAGGATTCAGCCTCATTGTTTGCTTTGGGAGGATGCTGTTCAGTTCTGCTCACAGGCTCTGGCTATCTCCAAACAGAACCCTGGGCAGCAGGATCAGAGAGCGAGCCGTAGCTTTTGTTCGAAGCTGATCAGGTCGTTAAACTATCCAGGATGAAATAACCCCCTAAAAATCCACATACAGGGTAACAGTATTCAGTTATTTAAAAAAAAGGAAATTAAAAGAAAAAAGAAGACGAAGGAGAAGAAGAGGAAGAAGAAGAAAAAAAACATCATTCATCATTCTTTTGGTATTTCTCTTTGGTCATAACTGTCTTTCCATTTTTAGGAAACTAAGATTGCTCCAACCATTTGGGCAAAATCTGTCCATCTGATGCACAATTCAATTTGCAAAATACTGATACTTCTGCTTCCTGCATTACACAGAAGTGGTGACACCAAACAAGACTGATCAGTAAATCACTGCACCAATCTCACTTAAATAAAGTCAGATGTGATTTCTTCCGTTAAGGAACTCATTGGCCTCTATTCCAAATTAAAGCTAAAGTATCGATTCAACACTGAGAACTACATCAAATTCTATCTCATTCTGTAGTGTTTTATCTTTGGTTTCATTTGTTCTTTGATTCCTGTGTAAAAAACACCTCTGATTTAAGAAAAAACAACAAACAAAAAAACCTCCATGGGCAGCAGAGACGTCAGAGCTTGCCCTGTGCTGTGGAGAACCGCAGTGGTCTCCCATCACGCCGTGGTGCAGGAGACGGCAGGGGAGGAGGTGCTGGACCCTGAAGAGCCGGTGGAGGATGGGCGTCCCTCTTCGCTCCAGCGGTTGAGGTTTCTTCTGCGAGCATTCATGAAGAAATTGCTGACGGTGGAAAGCTCCAGTCCGAGCTGCTGTGCGATGGTCACCTGCAGGTCTTTGGCAGGCCGCTGGTTCTCCCTGAAGATGGCCATCAGTGTACGCCGCTGCAGGTCGGTGAAGACCAGCCGAGTGCGCTTGGGCCCCTGGTTCCTCTCCTGCTTCGACTCCTGCTCTTTGCGCTTACATGCTGAGAGACAGAGAGAGAGAGAGAGAGAGAGAGAGAGAGAGAGAGAGAATGAGTAAAAGGTTTCCAGACATTGTATATTTTACATTTCCACAAAACCCAAAGCAACAACCACTGACACCTGACTTCTATGATTTCAATTTGAGAATAATGAGTCAGAATGATGTGTGAAATGTGTAACATACATACATATTGATATTTATGTGTCCACTTCACTGATACATAAGAAAAAGATGCTGAGCTGTGGGAAAGATTGTTTCATGCCTAAATTTTAATATTTCATGATTCAGGAAAATATCCCAAATCTACACGCATGTGTTTAACTCGTGAAATATTACAGAAGAATATTTTTACAATCATATTTTCTTACAATTACAGCTTAACTGCATTATTCTGCTGTTAGGTTTGTGTGGCTACAGCATACATCTCCAAGACACTATGTTCTGACTGTAAGGTTCAGTAGAAACAAACCTCCCAAAGAGAGACTAGCATATAATGAATGAGTAACAGCTGAATCCCCAAAACAGTCTATTTATTACAGTAGAAAAATACTTAAAAGCAAAATAAAAGCAAAATTGTTATGTAATGTATGGATGTAATCTCTAATCTGTCTACACTGTAACTATATTTATTAATGTCGAACGGTTTGGCTTACTATTTTGGAAATGCATAATAAGCTAAACATCTTTTGAATAAAGCAGGCATTATTTCATGGAAAAAAAATGCTTAATCCTTTGTCAATTTAACGTTTGTTCTTGATTAAAATAATACCCAACTTGCTGATTTCAGCTAAAAAAAACTGATGATGCCGTCTAGCCTAGGCAATGGAAAAGATGAGACTTAAAGTTAACAAATCATATTTGGTTGAAGTAACAGGAATAGCTTTCAAAATTCTATTTATATCCATATTACATGATGTCAGCATGACTATATAGTTTGACTCACTGTGAGTCAACTACTTGGCCATTAAAACAATGGCTCTAACACACATGTAGCTGTGCTTTTAGGTGTCCACATCACAGATTTATAAGAGCAGAGCCGAGCGACTCGCTCCCACCTATGCTCGCCAACATAACAGCAACCATTAACTAAATGCTTCCTCATGTTGTAATCATGTGTAAAAGGCTGTGAATTACCATGCTATAAATCCGAAGCACTGTGCCTCTCTCACAGACATAAACATCCCCCCATAGAGTTCTTATGATTGCGAGAGCCGCCCTTAATCATGATGTATGCCTCTTGTCTCATGTTGCTGAAACGTGATCGAAAGCACCCCTATTCCTCATCACCCCCCCCCCACACACACACACACCCCACCCCACCCTTACTCCACTACCCCCTCTCAGCATCCCCCACTCCTGACCCACCCCCTGCTGATTTCTTGGGCCACGGGCTGATAGAAATTATTGATTAAATCTGTGCTGCTCAGACTCCTCGACCTACAGAGGCTGGTTAACCCCTTCAGCACTGGACCAGGTCACAGCTTTCCCCTGAACAAATACGTGGTTTATTTTTATGCTCCGCAGGCAAAACATTCAGACTCGCTCTCTTAGACGTGTGAATTTTGGATTGTAAACAGTGCAAACAGGCCTGTGCATTTGCGTGCCAGTTCTGCCCGTCAACAGCACGGCTAAATGGCTTTCAAACCCCGCTGATGGTGCAGGCAGAGACACTGAGAGAGCCACTTAAGCCTATTTTATCTCGCTTATTCATTTAGACTTTAAGACAAGGGCTTCAGGCTCCAGTGCTCGTGTGTGAAATCCCTGCGCTGCCAGAGAGCTGAGGGTTAGAGTAATGATCTCCATCCTGCTCTGTGACTGAGCTCCTCTTTCTCTCTTTCTTTCTCTCTCTCTTTTTCCAGCATGGTCCATCCTGCACACACTCGCACTCTGCCTTGCTCACTGAGCAAGGGCACACAAAAGAATGAGAGAAAGAATTGGACAGACAGCAATCTTGCACCTCAATAATTGTAGCTGTAATTAAACGATTGAAAAGAGAAACATATTAATATGTAAAAATGTCAAAAGATGTGGCAAAACCATCATAATACCTTTACTGCACCTATATCAATATCTATTTTGCAGATTACAAGCATTATGACTGCATGTACGACCAACAAAAATAAGACTAAAGAAATAACTGAATTAATACATTTCACGTTAACAGTAATGAAAGCTAAATTAATTTTCTAGGTGTCATAAAAGTTTTGATTTTGCAGGGGTTTTTTTTTTCGAATTAATAAGCACATTTTATTTAATTCATCTCTGAAATTTTGAGGACATGAAATGTTTTGAGCCTTTAATATATTTCCAAAAAATAATTTGTAAATCAAACTATTATTGAGTATAGGCCTTTCTGAGCACTATTATAATATCAGTGGGGACATTCTTTAAGAAAATGGTATTTGTTGTCTCACAAAATCAGTCATCTTGCTTGTAGCTCACAAGGTATACATTTTTCAAAATTGATCTCAGGGCAATGTCAGATGTCAATTTTGGCATTTAACTAAAAGTATTTACAAAAACGTCTTAATATTCATATTGAAAATATGTAGAGAATGATGTTACTTAATCGTCACCACGAGTGGGATATTACAGTGCTTTTCAGACATATTGTGCTGCATTAAGCTGAATCATCTTCCCGCCTGTCCATGTGCTGCATGAACTCCTGCTATCTAAAAGGAGGCGTGAGGCCGTGTGCATTCTAATTCTAGCCTGCACTCGCTTATTCGCAGGAGCTGTGAGCTGGAGGCCTGTGCTCTGCTTTCCCAAGGAAATCAATACCAGCTGATAATTAAACAAAAGGCTTGGCAAGAAAAGCCAACCCTCATGGAAAGTAGGTTACACAGGGAGGCACAGAGGTGTCCACCTTGTGCCTTTGCCAGGGCTAAAAAGATTGGGTATGAGTGTTTGTCTGTGCATTGGACGGATGGCCTGGGAGAAATGCGTGATTTGTTCAGATGATGGTGTGATAAAACATTAACATACTTGGTGTCTTGATGTATAGCTGTTGGGTATTGGGAAAATATTGCAATATTTGAAGTAGGGATGCACAGAAATCTGAAAATGGAAATGAAAAATCAAATACAACTGAGACATTATTTGAAATAAAAAAAGCCCCCCCAGTTTAAATAATCATATGGCTATCCAGACTAATGTATACGCAGTGGCAGCTACTGAGCTACCAACATTATGGACAGTAACGGGCACAAAAACAACAGCAAGATTCAGTACCATGCTGCCAAACAGGGCATTGATTGATTTTGTGTATTTCAGCGCTTAGAACACTCCTATGACTGAGAGCACAATGGTTACCAATCAATATCTGCGGTGGTAATGCAAGCAGAATAATTCATTCTGAAGCACATTTCAAGCTTTGGTGATTGATCGCCTGGGATTCGGACAGACTTTGGCAAGGCGGCATTCGCGTTTGTCTCCCAGCCCAGAGTCTTCGGTGGCTAGCTACTGTAGAGCGCTGTCCGACATTTTGCGAGCTAGCCCCCCCCACCACCACCACCACCTTCGCCCATTCTCATGTTACAGTTTTTTGTAGAGCTCTTTGTGCATCAGCTGGATGTTCAGCCCTGGTCATGTCACAACACTGCTACACTATGACAAGTGCTGGCTTTCAAAGCAAATCTCTGAAGAATATTAGATGGCAACCAACAGAGGGTATCTCTCTCAGTATCTAGTGCAAAGTGAATTTAGTACAATCAGTGCAAAATGACCCCAGACTGGAGGAGTGCTTTTTCTTATTTAGAGTGCACATGAAATTTAAGAATTTCATGGATTTGGGGGATTTGGCATAGCAAACCCTAATAACTGATGGTGAAATTTGAAACGGAATACAGGTCAATAAAGATGCACTTGTTTGCACCCAACAGTTTTAACTATTGTGACTTGCTGGTTTTCCAGGGACAGATGTTGCCCAAAAAAAAAGCTTGTGCTCCTTCAGGAAGAATGAACAAACTACACACATCTCAGTCTGAGTTATACAGTACGCAGCTGCTAGGTGTACAGTCAGCTGAGAATTCTTTCACTGGAACTAGATCTAGGTGCTCGATCTGGCTGGGAGGCACAAGCTTAAAAGCAAACAAGCATACTCAAAAATTCTACCTTCTAGTCGCAGCGACGCCATCCTCTGAAACTCTGGCTCTTGTAACCAGCGGGACATCCTCTTGAAGGTCTCGCGGCCGGACTTGAGCTTGCCCCAGGGCTTGGGGTTTCTGAGCAGGTCGGACAGGGTGCCCTGAGACCTGCACAGCACCCTCTCGGCGAAGATGGCCTGCGGGATGCTGTACCTCTTCAGCTCTGTGATGATCCGCTGGGCCACATCTTTGGTGTTGATCTCCTCCCCTGCCCCGTTGCTCTGGGAGCCGGCCAGCATGCTCTCCCTGGCCAGACTGGAGCTGGAGGAGGATGACGACGAGGAGGGGGAAGAGCCAGGGAGTTCCCCCAGCTTAGAGGCTTGCTGGCTGTGATGGTGCTGTTGGTAGCTCTGGGTGTAGATATGGGGGTGGTACGTGGGTGCGTGCTGGTGGGTGTCTATCTTGCTTAGCTGGTGGCTGACCCCATGCTCTCCGACTAGTGAGGGTGGTGACATTTCCCTCCCAAAGTCTGTTGCTGTTCGGCAGAATATGTTCCCCCCACTGCTGCCCATATGGACATCATGGCTGCTTGCAAGCATCTGGCCACTGTGTCCGTTCTGGCTCCCTAACGAGCCGTAACCATGCATGGCTGTCTCCAGGCCTGAGCTGCCAAGTGGTGGAGACAGACTCTGTGCCATGCTCAAGTCTTTGCCATAGGGGTTATAGAAGTTTCCTCCAAGCCCCCTATCCTCACGCATGAGCGTAAAGCTACCGATGACATTACTGACCGGTAAGCAGGGGTGATGGTGATGGTGAAACTTGTCATCAAATGGCTGGAGAGGGGTCAGTGTAGTGTAGGTGCTACCACCGCTTGTCGGGGTGTCCCTGCCATACCCCAGCGTCGGCATGCTGTGCTCGTACCCAGGGCTCCTGTGCTCATGTTCCAGGCCCATGGGGTGGCCTCCCAGAGAGGGACGTGGGAAGGCGGCAGAGAGGTCTCGCGAGTGTAACATCGCACGACTGTCCTGACTGTGTGCGAGCTCCACATGACTGTGAACTGACATCTCTCCCATATTGCCATCCATTTCTAAAACAAATGTACAGAAGGGTATCTTTACCCCTCCCCCTTCTACACTAAACAGTGCTTGTTTTCAAACGTATCAGGCAGGAAATGTAAATATATTCAGAGTGCTGTCCACTCAAGCCTGTGAATATTTCACTTTTGGTTTCAGTCCAGTTTCAAGGGCGGACAGAAGAGCACTTTTGCTATCATTTTATGTGTTCCATTAAAGCACCTGCTTTTATGTGTGTCCGTCTTGTCCTTGGCCGCGAGGAGCCTGTGGAAGAGATACAGTAGGCTACGATCACTTGATTGGTTATTGATCATTTATTCAAGAGAGCTCGTTGCATATTGATCAAGCACACATCTACGGATTCTCAGGCAACCACGGAGAAGTTTCACTTGCTAGCCAAAACAAACAATCAGGCTAGTCTATTTCCACCATGCTTTGACGAAAGTGCGAACAGTATTGCTCAGGCTTTCAGCAGCTCCTATTCAACCTCAGTCTTTTCGCAACTTCTACCTATCTGGTGAAAAACATTTAACAAGCGTTTGACTTGCTTACCTCAACCGCTCAGGCTTGATTGTGGACAAGATGACCGGAGCTCGAGCACTGTGGAAGGGAAACAGCGACAAATACAATCCTGCAGACTCGAAAGTGTCCTCTCTTCCACGCTGCGCGGGTCGTGAATACGAGCATCCCAAGTCCCAGAAGAAGCGGGTAACGTTAAGAAGGACTTTAATGGCCGTGAAAAATCGCGATGCTCCGTCTCGCTGAGGCTCGCCGAGGATGAGGAGGAGGCCACATAAAGGAAGCGCTCTGTCCCTCTCGCTCCTCTCTGCTCTGCGCTCTGTCCAGCCGCACGTTAGCCTGACTGTGTGTCTAACTGCCCAGCTCCCTTTCTGTCATTATCTCTGTGGTCCCCCCTCCTTTCCCTTTCCTCTGTCTCTCCATCGATCACAGCCCTCTTTTTTTCTCCTCCTCTCCCTCCCTCCTCTCTTCCTCCCCCTCTCTCTCTACCCCTTCTCAGAACGTCACACACTTAAAAATCTGACAGATGTGGGATGAATTTCGAACTCGGATTAACCCCTTCGCTCCCGCACCTCTCTTCTACTCTGCTCTCTCGAGTTTGGTGATCACAGCAATGCAATTGATCACTTTTCGATTGAGCTTGTCTTTTTATTTCGACTAATGTTCTTTATTCACCTCCGCAGAAATGAAATCGTTCTCACGCGTGTTGCCCAACCATTCAATTTAGAGTGATTAGTTTACCGTTGATTAAATTGATCATTAAGCCCACTCAGTGATCCACCCCCCTTCTCCTCCTCCTTATCTTTATCATCTTCTTTTCCCTCCTCCTCCTACTCCTTCTTCTTCTAATTGCATGCTAGCACACTGTCCATTCATATATTCATGTATGTATTATCATTTCTATACTTACAGTGACGTAACTAAGAGGGATGGCAGAGGGGGTAATCGAACCGGGGCCCATAGCGCAGGACCCCCGAAAATCTTCGTTTTGCCCCTCGGATAGATGCCCACACAATTATACACCCGTGACTCACAGTTTCTTAACAACAATAGCGCACCAGTTAGCTTGTTTGTCCAAACGTCTTGTTTTCATAATTATAATCATTTCTGCATTGCAATGTAAACATTTGACGCTGGTGGATGGAGTAGGATAATTCGAGAACTTATTTGCAACATTATAACAGCGAGTACACAAGCAAATGACACAATCCTTTGTCCTTTTTATTTATAGAAAGACATTTTTCACATGGGGGTACCTTTTTGTATTTTATTTATTTTATTTTTATTTTTTGCACTGGGGCCCACAAGATCCTATACGACACTACATAGTTAGCCTTGTTTATAATCATGTGACAACAGTTAATCCATACAGACTGCAGCCACATGTCCCATTAACCCAGATGATCTATTAAAGATTAAAGACTGTTGGTCTTTAGCCATTTTTATTTTCTTCTGAAAATATAGATTTCCACGCGTTAATTTTTGCGCGTGCACCTGAATTGCGGTGAAGTTTTAATATCTAAACAACTAATTTATTGATTGCATAATTGGGCAAAGCTGTTAGAAGCCTCTTCAGTCACTCTTCAGTCTGAGAACAGAATGAGGGAGGCTCTCCATCTGAATGCGCGTTTATGAGCCTCCTTCTTTACACACACTCGCTGAGCACAACAAAATCACACCAGATTTCCACAATTTACAGAAACGCCCCGCGCGATCTGGGACCTGGTGTGTGTAGAGCTCTGAACACATTCCAGAGCCTCTATATGTTTTAGTTTGTTAATATTCTTGTACTGTGTTTTCATCCACAATCTCAGGGCATGAGAGGCCAGAGAGAGAGAGAGAGAGCTGATGCTGCATGTATGCGAGAGTGACCAGTCCAGAAGTAAACCTTAAGCCTCCAATCTGAATATTTAAATTGTCTCGCTATGTTATTCGTGCCCATGGTAACACTACACCTGGCCACATTACAGCCACACCTGGCAGTATTGCAGTGTGAGAGGAGGCCGCGGGCTCGTGCAAAACCGATCGTCTGTGTGTGTGTGTGTGTGTGTGTGTGTAGCTTTAACTGCGCCGTGCTGCTGGATGTGGGAGCGGCGCGCGCTGCAGCAGATGCTGCACTATCGATCCACAGCGCGGGGAGAGGAGCTGCAGGGGAGATGGACACACACACACGCACACACACACACACACACTCACACACACGCACGCACACACAGCTCTTGAGAGGTTGGGGTGAAAGTTCATCTACTGTGGCTAAAGAATGAGACCATCCAAACCAAGACAAGATAACGACCCCTAACATCATGCAAAATATTCCGCTCTGTGAGGATCACACATCGGAGGGCTTGTTCTTAAATACTATCACGCCGCTGTTATCTTTCTGAGGCAGACACATGTAGGAAATTCGGGCGGGCTGCTGATGAAAATGTGCTTTAAGCAGCCGGCGCTCACTCACTGCATCTGCTGTTTGATGAGCAAACTCACATTCATTGATCAGTCTGAAACAGGCAGCAATCACAGTCAACATACAAACAGATAACAGCTTTTTAAAGGGTTTTTCCCCTCAGTTAAATGACCAGACACTGGATGATTCAACACTTTATTGAAGATATCAGTGAATATATTTCAAATAAAAACACGTTAATTACAGGCAATCTTGCCTTATTGGAGATTTTTATATTTTCTTTTATATTGCATGTAATTTAATATTTACTTTACCATTTCACAAATATTTACATCTATATACTAGAGACAAAACGAGCAATAATAACAACAACAATAATAATAATAATAATAATAAGAAGAAGAAGAAGAAGATAAATGATAAATAAATGATGAGCGCTTAATTAAAAACCATGTACTGTCGTTTTGTGTGCGCTGTAAATGTAGCCAATACAATCAAATTTCACAAATGAAATATTTTCAGTAACCGTTAAAAATCAAACTCCTATACGTGAATAAATTATTGTACCCGCCTTTTCCCTTTATTCATGTGTTCCGCATCTGATTTCACTCCAGAGAATTCCATAGGGCTAAAGCGGGGCCTTGAAGCTGAAATCTCACACCCTGTAAAGGACAGAGCGCGCTAACACTGTGACCACTGACAGCCAAAGCTCTTAGTCTTTTACATTATTATCTGCTCATATAGACGGAAAAACAGGGCTGATAAAGATGCCGATTACTCGAGTTACAGCTTCACACACCATCACTCTACATCCACACTGATGTTCCTCCTCATCACTGAGACCTGTGGATCACATCCCTCCCTGCCTCCTTCATCATCATCATCATCATCATCACCATCATCTAAAGCTCATCGTCCAAAACTCTCTCTCTCTCTCTCTCTCTCTCTCACACACACACACACACACACACACACACACACACACACACACACACACGTCTTACTGACGCACCAAACACGCGAACACACGTTACTGCACATCCATTTCATATTTTCGGACAGAAGACTTAAAAGTTTGTATATTGTTTGTGTATTTTATTTTATAAAATGTAGTCGTCCTCTTACAGCCTCGGTGAAATAGTTCGCTAAAAATTATACACAACGCACAAAAACGCATAAACAAATAAATTAATAAATGCAAAAAAAGCGAGAGAGAAAATAGAGAAAGATAGATTTCTATCTCTAGTCTACTGATTAAATCCCAATATTCATCACCTTTGGGGGGAAAATTTCAGAGTAATTCTAACGCAACTCAAAAATGAACTCTAAATGTTAACGGTCAAAGCAGATTTCGACGCGATTGAACTCATATTAAAAATAATACTAATAATAAATAAATGTCAAATGGACCACAACAACAGCAATTTTATTTAAAGTTATTACTTGTCAATATTCTTCTTCTTTTTTTTTAAACGATTTCTTGTTCTCAGTCCAGGACTGTATTTACATATTTAATTTCTGTACTGGTCTAAGCTGAACTGATTTTTTTTGTACAAAACTGAGTCTAAAAGACTCACGGTAGTGCCTGTGTCCTCGGCGGGTTTATCAGAGTAAACTGCAGGGAAAAAAAGTTCCTCTAAATGGTCATTTTAGTGTTTCATGTTGTAGTGAATGTGTTCTAAACTATGACAGAGCTCAGGAGCTGAGCACACATCTCAGTGTAAGAGTTTAAATATCTCTAAACACACTAAACATGATTTTATTAACAGAGCGGGCTCATTTTCTCCTCTCGATTACTGATGCCTTTAGTAAGCAAAACAGGTCTGACCAAATGTCTAAATAAATCAAATGTTTTTCGTCTGCAACATTCTGAATAAAATTCCAGGCCAAAAACCCGAGACTCCCTCACTGACAGTGTGAAGGACGCTCGGCAAAATTACACGATGCCTGAAATGAACTTAAATCGGCGAACAGAACTGAGATTTGAATAAGATGAGCGAGGTTTGTTATTTAAAATATAAAATAAAGAGTCCAGTGGTCTGAGCTGTTAACTGTAGTATTGGGTCCAGTGCAGTGACGATTAAAACCAGGTACAGGTTAATTAATGCATTCCCTCTTAACCGCTCTGTAAATAAACTGCAGTATTTCTATTAGAGAAGCTCCAGCAGCCTCTGCGTAACAAACACAGGATGTGAATAGTGAAAAGAAATCGATCCGGGGCTGAAGTCAATATTTCAATTAACGTGATCCTGATCCACACTCTCCCACAGCAGCACTATTAAAAAGCAATAGACCAACGAACCCGCTTTGCATGATGGGAAATGTGTGCTATACTCTGAAAAGAACTATTTAAAAATGTGCTTAGCGCAAAAAAGGTCAAAAATATATTTTTGTAAACTGAATTTAATTTCTACACGCTATATATGTAGTGAGCATGAAGCTTCCTCTAGCCAGATAGAATATAGATAAGTTAATTTGCCATACTGTAATTTATTTAAACATTTCCAGTAACTCTCTTAACTGTTTCTGAATTATTTCTTTTTTTTCTTCTTCCTTCTTTCTTCCCCTTATTTTTGACTGGACTAATTAAAGTTTCATCCAGCAACCAAGAAGTTGTTTTTACATGTTATATATTCAAAAATGCATATATATATATATATATAATATATATATATATATATATATATATATATATATAGTTGTATTTATTTTAGATTTGCCTTCAGACTAAACCAA